ATGACAGAAAGTGAATTACGAAAAAACCACCAGCAGAAACAAATAATATTTGACAAAAATATATATATATATATATATATTACCAATCAATATTTTTGTGATATCTATTCGTGGTGGTCGCATCGTCCCATTTCTTGGTTTAGTCAATCTAACGGCATATAATCTTATATTGAAAAAAGGTCCTACCGGGAGTCGAACCCAGGTCGCTGGGTTCAAAGTCCAGAGTGCTAACCACTACACCATAGAACCAACCTGCTCACTTGGTCATTATTTATTTATATCATCCAATTTAGTTATCAAATTCTGGTATCAAGTCTTCTGTATTTATATCATTATTAAATTGAATCGTTGCTTATTTTTTACAAGATATTTTGGGTCATTGACTTATGTTATGCTTTACTATCTTGCGCAAATACTAATGATATTAAAAAAGGTTAATCTTATTGAGAATAATAAAAAAATACTATTCAAGTGCGCGTTATTAATTCATAATCATGTCACATATATAATTAAAAATAAATGTTTTAATAGAAAACATTCATAGCAATATAAAGTATATAAATTTAAAATATTTCGAGGTATATGCAGTTTCCTAGCTGCTGCCCATTTGCGATGGCATAGAACCTGGGAAAGAGAAAAGTCTAAAGGACCACAAATTAAAAGGCCCAAAACAGCCAGCCGAAGAAGACGAATCGGCTATTTGATGGTTTGCTCAATCAGTTGTGTTCTCTAAATTTCCAAGCTTTGATGTTTCGTAATCGTAATGTAAGCAGCTGCAAGCTTACTAGCACAACCTAGTACAGAATTGTCCCTGCATAGTTCTTGATGATATTCAATAAAGAGGTTATTGATTCCGAAATTCGTTGAAGAAAATGTTCATATAGGAGAGATTGCCTTCTTTTAAAGAAAGGAGATCACTCATGACATCCTTATATGGATTCTAAATCTGCATTAGATATTAGGGAGGGGAGAGGTTATGCGAAAACTACCCTATGGTTTGGTCCCTTTGCAAAGCCGACCTAGTTTCAAATTATTTCACGCCAAACATCGTACGTTAATGTTATCGACCTTAACTTCTCAGCAACAAGCTAGCACACATGTCTTAACTTGCCTTTAAGCAGGCTAAGAAGAACAAAAAGCTGAACCTAATTATTCACGATCACAACACTCTTCGTTATCGTGCGTCTTCTTCGCCTAATAACGCATTCTGGATCTACACACCCACAGGAGCGTTAAGAATCCCATTATAAGTTTTGTGATGCGGTGTCAGATGAAACCAGCTAATCGCTTGTATATTGGACAAACACGATTATTAAAAGATATGAGATTCAGATATTTTTCGGTAAGGTTATATGCCACCTAGCGAATGAAAGGCCATTTGATTCGATTCGATTCTTTTCACCAGCCATTTCTTCAATCATGCAATCTAATAATAACTTAGAGCCCGAGCAATCCTAGTTAACAAGGGATTCGTGCATCTCATAAAAAAAATCACATTAAATCAGTACACGTTTTGAATGGCAAGTGAGTGTGTAAAGTTTCCACTAGGAGATTGGGACATCCACCGATGAAATGGCTAAAAAATACATATATCCAGCAAGTTCAACATGCATGATATAATAAGAAAAGCCTCTTTGCTTGCGATCAATAAATTACTAAAATCAGTCCTCAAAGTAGGATTCAAACTTCACTTATACAAAAAATGATCTTTTAAAATCATTTAATAGTATCAAATTGTGATGTAATAAGAAATCTAAGGTAATTTCTTTGTTTTAATAGTATCAAATTGTGATGTAATAAAAAATCTAAGGTAATTTCTTTGTTGTTTGCTGTAGTAGAATAAATTTTTTCTTTTTTTGTTGTTTGCTGTAGTAGAATAATTTTTTTCTTTTTCTTTTTATTCTAAGTTTGTTTGTTTTTGTATTTCACTTTTGGCTATTGGTTTTGGCCCTTATTCTAAGTTTGTTTGTTTTTGTATTTTATATTTTTGTATTTCACTTTTGGCTATTGGTTTTGGCCTTTTCAATATATATATATATATATAAAGAAGAAGTAGAATTAAATTGATAGAGAAGATAAAAAAAGAACTACAAAGCCAGGTAGTTCCGGTCAATGGTGCGCAGGTTTTGTTCCCACTTACACTATAGAGCATCAAGATCTTTCATCTTTTGTTTTGATCTTACAATTATATATATGGTATTCTTCTTGAAAGAATACAAAATTTTCTTGTTGCTCTTGTATGTAATGAGAATTGGAAGTATTAAAAATAGGATTAGTATAGAGGTCATTAAACAGAAGAAAAGATTTAATCAAGAACTTGGTTATAAGCCTACTTTTAATTATAAGAGCATCTCCAATGGAGAAGCCAAATAAATAGCCAAAAATAAAAAATTAATATTTTGACTTTTCTTTGTTTGTTTTGCATATTCCAATGGAGAAGCCAAACAAAATACTAAAATGCCTTTTTTCTCCCACAAATGTTATTTCTACATATCTCTTTAAAGAGCCAAAACCAACAAAGTGGGACCACTAAAAAAATAGACCAATTAAATGTAGACATGTGGAAAAAAAATAACATTAAACAATATTAAGAAATAATAAAATATTTATTTTTTTCACTCCAATATAAATGACTCTTCAAATGGTTTTTTTCCATTGGAATAGATATGATAAGATAAGCTATATTTATACTATTCAAAATACTATTTTATCAATTTAGCTTTTTAAAATAGCATTTTGGATTGGAGATGCTCTAAGAATGTGAAAAGCTCATCTTATCTTCAATATATAACAATCACCCCACGAAAATATCCAGGTTCCCGTAATTCTTAAAATAATGATGACAACTATGTAAAAATCCTGAATATTTGGATCTTGAGAGATAATCAAGGCTTAGTAAACCTTATCATTTCAGGTAGTTTATATATTCTACTCTTCCACCCACCACACTTCAAAACCCATCTCTAACTATTAAATGAACTAAAGATAGCAGCAAAATTATACTATAATCAGTGCCTTTTCTACCTTCCATTTCTCTATTCGTTCAAACATAAGCTTTAATTTTCATGGTACGAACTCGTGGCGTTAGGTGATGTAGATCTATATATAATTGCCATTAAATCTGGGAGGTGCCTCATGTAACGATAAGAAGCTGATTTTGAATCCTCTGTTCACGCGTGCCCGTCAAAAGCACTGGCCCTGCATGAGATAGATCGCAACAACATTCTCTAGCTCTTGATGATCACCTAACTAGACAGTGTTAAAACAGAGAAGGATGAAGAGACTAACATGGTCATGGTAGAGACAGAACATGGGCACAGCTCAATGGTGCTCATTGCCTCATGGTGCACTTGTCATACCTGAAAGTGAAAGACATGGAATGATTTGGCCACTTAGTGGAATAATTAGGGTTAGTTTTTTCTCTTTCGTTTTCTTTTTGGCGGTTGTGGTAAAAGACAAATGTGTGTCCGAAGAAAAACGGCTGAACCTAAAGAAAGTGTTCTGAAATTGAAGGAAATGCAGTGGGGATGGCCACGTGAAAGATGGGGGAAGAGCAGTGCTTTTTAGGTGGGTAACGTACGGCAGAATAGTGATTTACTGTACACTAACTAGATACACGAGGAACATTCTACACCGTTCTTTTCTCTTCTCCTAGCGACATAAATTGTGTTTTTAAAAAGTTCATTTTTTTAATTAAAATTTAATATGTTTCATATATTTTAAATTATTTTAATATATTAATATCAAAAATAATTTTTAAAAAATAAAAAAATTATTAACATGTATTTTAATACAAAAAATTATTTAAAAAACATCCACAATTATACTTTTAACATAAAAAATTATTTGAAAAATAGTAACAATCACATTATCGAATAGACTCTAAGTACCCATTAGTCAAACGATAGTTTTTTTTTCCTATAAGAGTTTGATAAAAATTTAAAAATTATTTAAAAATTATTTGAAAATAAAAAAAGGTATGTAATGAAGTCTTTGAGCTTTTCGGTATTTATCTTATAAACAAATTAACCACAATTTCTTCAAACAAATCGCAAAACTTGATTATTAACATGTATTTTAATACAAAAAAATTATTTTAAAAATACCCACAATTATATTTTTAATATAAAAAATTATTTGAAAAATAGTCACAATCACATTGTCAAATAGACTCTAAGTACCCATTAGTCAAACGATAGTTTTTTTATCCTCTAAAAGTTTGATAAAATTTTAAAAATTATTTAAAATTTATTTGAAAAAAAAAAATATATAATGAAGTCTGTGTACCCATTAGTCAAACGATAGTTTTTTTTTCCTATAAGAGTTTGATAAAAATTTAAAAATTATTTAAAAATTATTTGAAAATAAAAAAAGGTATGTAATGAAGTCTTTGAGCTTTTCGGTATTTATCTTATAAACAAATTAACCACAATTTCTTCAAACAAATCGCAAAACTTGTTAGATAATGAAATTTTACCATTTAATTACAAAGTTAATTAGTTATATGTTCTCCAAGATGGATGTTGGAAGATCGATTTCTTTTTCACAAATTTTTTAATTTTTCGTGGATTAGATCACTAGAAAAAAATAATTTAATTTTGGCCCGCATAAATGGATAAAAGCCTAATCATATATAAATTAATAAATAAAAAAGCTTAGATTTACACAATATGATATCCCTCTTTTCCCTTATATCTTCTTAATTGTTCACACTGTTCATATTCATATGAACAGAACTTGAACTTGGCCGTTTTTGGGCTAATGCCAAAAGAATTTTACCAACAAAAGAAAATAAAATCATGCAGATACATGTAGGGCTAGCATTTGGAGCACGCAATTTTTGAATCATATGCAATCATTTCGTCATTTTACTCGCACGGTTCGTGATGCATAACATCCTCTATAAATAAGCCATTCACCCTTTGTGCCTAGCATATTGTGGCGTGGCTTGGATGTGGAAGGGCTAGCTAGCTAGGGCTTCCCCTTCAAAACACGTATTTACTTCTTTTCCATATCCTTATTTTGTGGGGGAGAAGCAAAGATTTAGAGAGAAAGATGGCTTCCTTTTCCATTCACTGCCCATGGATATTCACATTTGGTCTTCTAGGTATTACATGTGCAAATAAATATTTTCCTCTCTGCATCTGCTTTAACAACTTCAAGTGGTTACAAAATCTGATTACATAATTAATTAAGTGTATCTAAATATTACATTCATATGGATTTTTTTAGGTAACTTCGTTTCTTTTGTGGTTTTCCTCGCTCCAATGTAAGTTTTTTTGTTTCAACCAACTTCTCTAATAAATATTAAAGAGCATCTCTTATGAAAGGGGCTATTGATCGAAGGACAATATTGAAGCTCTAACAAGATGTTTCCATATTGTTGCAGCCCAACATTTTCAAGGATTTGTAGGAAGAAAAGTACAGAAGGTTTTCAATCATTGCCTTATGTGGTTGCCCTATTCAGTGCAATGATTTGGCTCTACTATGCATCACTCAAGTCTGATGCTCTCCTCCTCATCACCATCAACTCAGTCGGTTGTTTCATAGAGATAATTTACATTGCTCTTTACGTTGCTTATGCTCCAAAACAAGCTAGGGTACGTACATCATGAGCACACATCTCTCTCTGCACCCATATATTTTTGTTAGCTATATATTGATCTCCTTACAAAATATATTTGCCTTGGTTTTTGCAGATTGCCACCTTGAGGATACTTATTTTGTTGAACTTTGGGGGATTTTGTGCGGTTCTTCTTCTCTCCCACTTCTTTGTAAAGGGATCAAACCGGGTTAAAGTTCTAGGATGGGTTTGTGTAATATTCTCAGTGAGTGTATTTGCAGCACCTCTGAGCATTATGGTGAGGATATATATATTATTTGTGACCCTTTTTGATGGTTTTTGTTCTTAAATATTTCGTCAAGCTGCTTAAACTGAGTCGATTTGTGTTTGTCAACATCACTTCATGGGATCGAAAACAGAAGGAAGAGAGCAGAATACTTTAATTTTTATACTCACACATATAGATATATATAACATATATCTGATCATAGTATATTTTATCCATGACTCTTCAGAGAATTGTGATACGAACCAGGAGTGTGGAGTTCATGCCATTTACATTATCGTTTTTTCTCACCCTTAGTGCTATCATGTGGCTCTTTTATGGTGTACTACTGAAGGACTTCTATATTGCGGTAAGTGATCTCTTTCTCGAATTAATGTATACACAGACGTGTCTCTTTTTTGCCTCATTGCTATATATGTTTTGTTGCTGCTGTATTACACATCCTGCAGCTTGCATGCTATCCTTTGGACTTCTGCATAATCTAGACACTGAAAGTCCATCTCTCCCTTGTTTTTTTTTCCCCATCTGTGTGCAGATCCCAAACATACTGGGCTTTATCTTTGGGGTGCTTCAGATGGTACTCTATGTAATTTACAAGAACTCCAAGACAGCAGTGCCTATGGAGCCTACGCTACCTCAAAACAGCAATGATATTGCCAAACTGAGCTCAATTTCTTGTGAGATGAAACCAGCTGTTTGCCCCCAGTCGAACGAGGAAGATGATCATACCGAGAATAGCAAGGATCCTTCCAACCAAGAGAAACCTAATCAATGTGAAGTTTGATTTGAGGATCTTGCTAGCTAGTACCTAACTTGTCTCGTAATGCACGTGGACTGTTGTACCTGTACCTAATTCTCTCTCTATTCTTGTAAAATTTGTGAAGGAGAGGCTTTATAAATATGCTCTGCAGTGTCCTGTTCGTTTTTGCGAGCATAACTCGACCAATATGGAATAAAAGTTATGCATATTTAATTTTGAGCTCAACAATTTGATGAACACAATTTATCATTTAATAACGTGTCAATTCTCTAGTAGCCCGTCCTGGGAAAAAAAATGTTCACAATGTAAACCGCTCAGTCTAAAAGCAGCTTTCGTTTATAAAAAAATAAAATAAAAAAAATAATTCATTGCAAACAAAGAACAAGGAAATAAAGCTTGCATGCATGGTTTATCTTAGGTGGCGTTTGATACGAGGTTAAAAAAACTAGTGGTGAATTATTACCGAGTAATTATTATAAGAGCAATTTTTTAAGGGCATAAAGCTGGATTTTAATGATGTTTAAGAATTATTATTTAATAGAAAAAATACTAATCCATAGAATTTCTTTTTGGAAAATTTTAGTGAAAAAAAATATAAATAGCAACATTCTATAAGAAGTAATCTATATATTTCACGCAAAAAAATACCTTAACTAATCGTAAATATTAGTAAAATAATATAATCTTGAAAATAATATGTTCAAACTCTCCAAAGTTTTTGCTAAAACAATTCAATCGAATATTTATCATATAAATAATCAATGCAATGTATACAAAGTTTCAATTTATTCCATTTTTTCATTTAGCACGAAACATCTTGGACATACCGGACATAACGGAAAAATATTGGCAACTATTAACAGGCATTTGCAACATTGCCCTTTTGGATTAATGATTTTTATTTTATTTTATATATCTTTAAAAATAAAAAATGAAATCAGTTAATATTCGAAGAGTGTGGAAAGTGATACAAAATAATTATATTTTAATGATGATTGGTAACAAAGAAATAAAAAATTATTTAATATGTATTTTAAAGAAAAAAATAAGAAGAGAAACAAAAAAAATTCATAAAGTGAAAATTTTACGCTTCAAAACACCATCTTTAGATGGATAATATGATTATGTTAATAGGGTAGGTCAAAAAAAAAAGAGGCCAAGTTTATGACATCTATTAGATTAAATTAATTTTTTTACTTTATTATACAATAAAAAGATATAAAAATTTATTTATCACTAATTCAATACTAAAAAAATAAAATTAAATAAAAATTTCAAATTAAAGAATGGAAATGAAACAAAAATACCTAAAAAAATTATTAAATAAAATTTCCATATTAAAATTAAAAACACAACCACATTCAAAAAAATAAAAAATAAAAAACAACAACCAAATGGTATAGGATGAGTATCAGGTGAGGATTTTATTGCTGCAATAGGCAATCGAATCCGTGCCTTTAGGCTGGTTCCACGCGCTTCAACCAGCTCAACTATGATATGAGTCCCTACGAAACGATTATAAAATATATCAACCTAACGTAGTCCATGTTTTTTAGTTGCATTTAGTAGTTGATTGACAATGCTTTCATGTTGGACCAATTTTTTTTTTGAAATATATATAAAAAATAAATTAGATTGTTGAAAAAAAATTGGCATTGTCATTAATTTGGTACAACAATTCAAATTTAAAAAAAAAACCTCAACAAAACTCTTTATTTAGCTCAAGTTTTAAATTAAATCATACAAGAATAAATTCAATGTAACCTTCTTAACTAGGTAAATCAAAAGAAAAAAATAATAAAATAAAATAAAATAAACTAATTAGGTTCACTTTTTTTTTTAATATCATGTACATATTTATAGATACAACTTACTAGTAAATGATCACTTTTGAAAGCCAAATCATAAGATAGAGTTCACCAGCTCAAGACCTCCAGTTGAGCACGCATGGTTACAGTTGAGCACACATTTACATGAAGGTTACAGTTGATCACACATTTACATTTACATGTAGGTTAAGAAATGCTAGTGGTATGATTTGAATTAGAGATGTTTTTTGCTTTTTAGATGACTCCTTACCATTTAATTATTGTCATCTATATAATATTAATAAATAATTAAAATAATATATTAAATTTATTCACTATTTACAATAATCGACTTACTTTTTTAGTTGTATTGATAATAAAAAGTATCCCTTCTTAATAATTAACTCCACTCAAAATTGCAAGTAATAGTTAAATTATAAAAATTAACCACTGTAGTCCCCACCAAACACCCCTTTAAAGACAAGGCACTCGCCAGATATGATCGATCCAATTCACAGCCAACCAGTCCATAGTATTGAATTAGTCCAATCCAAAATCGAGCAACCCAAGCCATGATCATTGATTTTATCATAATCTGTTATTGGGTTCCCGAGTAAAAATAGAAAAGAAAAAAATAAATAAAATATTACCAAAAAATATAAAAATAAAAAAGGATGCTAAGTCGCCTAGAAAATGACTAAAAAAACTGGTTGAAGAAGTTTAAAAATACAAAAATTAAAATTTGATAGTATTTTATTGATTGATGAGAGTCTTGTGGACAAAAAAATTTATTTTGAGAAAGAAAAATCCAAAATTAGACATTTATGGACTTAATTAAATTTTAATGAAGGTTTAATTAAATTTATGGAAAATTTAATTGTAAGAAAAATTAATTTTTGAGTTAATTTGGGTTTTAATTGAAGGAAATTAAAGTTCTAGGATCAAATTATAATTTCTAAGAGTTAATTTGATCAAATCAAGGGCTTAATTGCATAAATATTAAAGTTTGATGGCCAATTAGGGACTTAATTGAATAAATCTAAAACCAAGAATCAAAATAAAAAAGATGCATAATTGGAGGGGTTACAATTAAACCAAATTAAGGGTTAAATTTAAAAAATTAAAAGTTTGTTATTCAATGGAGGGTTAAATTGCACTAATTTGAGACTGAGGATCAAAGTAAAAAAGACGGCCAACTTCAAGGCCACTGTTTGATTTTTGGTAAGGGTGTATTTGCATTGATTTTTTAAATCAAAATTGAAATGTAGGACTTTATTGAATAAAAACAAATTATAAATTGAGAACCAATATGAATTTTAACACATTCTGACGCTCTTTTCTTTTAAATAAACGGCGCGTTTTGCTCAAAATGACGTCGTTCCATGCACTATTCACATAAAAAGGGATCAAAACGATATTGTTTTGAATGGCACCATATGTCTTTTTCTTCCCTTGAATGCACAGAGAACAAGGGAAGAAGATTTCTTTTTCTCCCTTGTTTTCACTGACTTTTGCATCGCCATTTCTCTCTTAAAAAGATGTTAACCCAATCGATGGACTACCACCCCCTAGCTAGCGCCCTTGTTAACCCTGCCCTGTCTCCTGACTGGACAGAGGCATGGCATTTTCATCAACCTTCTTGACCTATAAATATAGAGGCAGAGAAAAGGCATAGGGATGGAAAAAAAAGGCCCGAGAGAGATAGAGGAGAAGAAAAGAGAGAGAAGAGAGAAAAGAGGAGAAGAAAAGAAAAGAAAAAGAAAGAGGAAAACACAAAGGAGGGAGAGGAAGAGGAAGAAGAAGGAGAAGCACGGTCTACCACTAATACAACCACCATTGTCGCACGTGTGCGGCGTCGAAGCGATCGTCCACCCTCTCAAATTTAAGTTTAAGGTATTTATCTGACAAATATGGAGAGATAAGGAATTCTTATCTTTTACGAGTGAAAAATAGGATGGGATTCGCCACCTAATATTTTGGTCACTAGGAACCCTAACTAGTCTCAGAGATCGAGTACAGAGATTGATTGCGTAACGGGAAGGTATTAGCACCCTAAATACACCATTCCAAGGTAAGTTGCATTGTTTTATTGTCTAATAAAAACTAATGTCTCATTTTGTTTTCTAATTTTTTGTCTGTCTATAATTTAAGAAAAGTCATCCTCGGTAAGAAAGTCCTTATCTTATCGGGTAAAAACCTAACTGTTTTAACATCAAATAAAAAAACTATCTTTTTAATATTAGGAGTGCGTTTTACATGTAAATTCATAATCTCAGATATTAAAAGAAAACAAAATAATTTTTTAATTTTTTTTAAAATATTGGTCAAGTTCTCATGATTTTAATAAACAAATTATTAAAACAAAACATGCATGTTAAAACTTGTTTTTTTTGAAGTTTTCTTTGTTATAAGAAAGTACAATATGAGTTTTTTTAGCTTTGAAAGACTTGACCGTATGCATAAAAACAAAAACATGTTTTTTTTAAATGTCTTGATGAAAATCGGGTATTTTAAATACTGGATTTATATCTTTACAATATAAGCTTATAGACCGATATTAATTAAAATGACGTAGAAAAAATTTATGGAAAAATCACAATTTTCAAATATATATATATATATATATATATATATAATGAACTACAGGTCCAGCCACAAGGCTGGACTCAGCCCAACCGTGTTGGGGTTGGGCTCATGTTCTAGCCCATAACAACCACGACTGGTACTGTGCATAAGCACAGTAACTAGTTAATTAATTGGCCGGTTACTGTTTTCATACACAGTAATAAACTAGTTATTCTTTTTGCATGCAGAACGTGCACAGTGCACGTTCTGCAGGCAAGAAGATGAATAATGGCTGGCGACTATGAGGGGGAAGAGAGTTACCTAAGGTGATGATCTTGGGTGGCTGAGCTGACGATGATGCTGGTGACCGATCTCAGTGGCGTTGTGGTGGTGGTGACTGGGAACCCAATGACAGCGGCGGTGCTTCTTCTTCACGGTGTAGAGACACCAGCTTGTGTCTTCTCCCTCCATCCAGTTTGCTCCTCTTGTCTTTTGTTCTTCCTTCTTTGCGTCTATCTCTCCGCCCGACTTCTCTTTCCCTAGTTTTCTTTTTTCTTTTTTCTTTCTTCTTCATCCATTGTTCTCCCCTTGTTTTTTCTAGTGTCTACTGTTTCAGTGCCTTCTTTTTACTCTTTTCTCTCTAAAAACTTATTGTTCCTTTCTTTCAATCTCTCCTCTCTCTAAAAAAAAACTATCGGTCTCTCTCTCCTGGTATTTCTTTCTTTTTTTCTGCTATTTTTCTCCTTTGT